ATTCAAGCTCTCAGGAAAAAGACTCGTCATTTGCAGATGGCAAATACCTAGTGCTTACACCCATATGGGTGTTGGAATGCCACGTTCTATATAGCGTGGCGGCGGGAGAGCCTATGGTGCGCAGAGGCTGATGGTGGCTAGATCCTGACAGATGATTTACTCACTGCTGCTACTGTTGCGCCATTGGCTCATGTCCTGGACGCCTCCACATGGCGACCGCTGGGTGGGAGTTGGGTTTCGCCCTTCTCCTTGCTAAGATCCAGGACACCAATCCGCATGAGTCAGTGAACTGACCATGTGCTACACCCGCTGCCTTTCGCGTATGCATTTAATCAAAGGCTTAGGCTGAGGACCCGAGTCGTTCTCTTGTCAGGTGTGGGCGCCCTGGCAGTATCTTAGTCCATCCTCTTCGGAGGCTAGGAAGTAGTTGATGACCCACTTCCATTAAAACCTAGCCATGGGAGACAACAGGTCTACGAGTTATAAGCTCACAGCTCGAATGGCGCAGAGCACGAGCGCCACGCATTGTCTCTGTCGGTGGGAGGGCACCACCGGGTGTTCAATGGTTTGCTACTGCCCACCTCAAGCCAGGCAGCCCCTGGTCAAATTGGTGCAAACCCGCCAAAACCCACCTGCGTCTGGCCGTGGTCGCAGGTCCGTATCCTACTACGGTCTAAAAACATATATGAATCGTTCCAGCACCTCCAAGGCTGCGTGTGACGGCCGTCAAGCAAATCCCAATCTGTCTCTGCAATCACATTCCCGAGCTGGATCTGCTCCCCACTGCCTTGTGCGTCAGGCTATTGAGGCAAAGGCTCCGGGCGGAGTCCCTCAAGCAAACCTCCGATACACAACAATCACCTCGTGTGCGATTGCCCACCAATGCAACCGTATGCCTGCGCGCAAAGCACTCAGCATCGGGTGCTGGAACGTGCGCACACTACTGGACCGGAACTGCAGTGAACGCCCCGAGCGACGCACTGCACTGGTCGCGATGGAGCTGGCGCGCTACCACATCGATATTGCGGCGCTCAGTGAAACTCGGCTCGCTGAGCAAGGTAAGTTGCATGAAGCAGGTGCTGGTTACACATTCTACTGGGTGGGGAACGCCGCCTCAGCACCACGTGAACATGGGGTCGGATTTGCAATATCCGACCGCCTCCATAGCCAGCTGGTGGGTGAACCAACGGGCATCAGCGCGCGACTGATGACTGTTCGCCCGAAACTCGGAAGAGGTATGTTTGCCACATTTATAAGCACGTACGGTCCGACCATGTGTTATCCTGATGACAAGCGTGATCAATTCTACACTCAGCGATCCTCTGTGATACGGTCTGTGCCGAGGAGCGACCGACTATTTCTGCCGGGTGATTTCAAAGCGTGTGTTGGGCGTGATGCACCGGTGTGGGCAGATGTTATCGGTTCGCATGGCATTGGTTCAGTGAAGGCGAACGGTGAAAGCCTGCTCTCACTGTGTGCCACTCACGGCCTGAAGATCACGAACACTCGATTTGCACTGAGTGCGAGTGATATAACAACTTGGACACACCCACGAAGTCGTCACGCTCACCTGCTCGACTGTCATCGTACATCAGCGTGATATGCGTGAAGTGCGCATAACATGTACACTGCGTGCAGCTGAGTCTGGCACTGAACACAAATTGGTGCGGACCAAACTGTACATATTTTGGTAAACCTATGTATTGCACTCCCGCCGTACATCGGCGTAAATTTAACGTCCTCTCCCTCGGTACTGTGGTGAAACGTACTGAGCTGGAGAAGGCGATGGCTGCACGCCTGTGTATGTGGACTGCACAGCCACAGTGGGCGACCTGTGGCACCATATTCGCGACCAGGTAACCGCTGCTAAAGAGGAGACCATCCGGCGCGCAAACTCTAAGCGGCCTGATTGGTTTGAAGAGAACAATGCGACGATTGGCGCATTGCTGTCGGGGAAGAATGCAGCATTTGCTGCACATGTCGCAGACCCAAGTGACTAGGGGAAGAGTAATCAGTTTCGCAAAATTCAACGGCGACTGACCGAAAGCTCCGTAGCATAAAAAATGCATAGTGAACGGAGAAGGCGAAGCAGATGGAATGCCACGAGGAACGCCGCCAACACAAGGAATTCACTGACTCCTTGAAGGCGGTGTATGGACCGAGCTTGGAGCCGCTGAGGACGCTGATCGATGGTATCTCAAGCGCTACCTACACACGGACTACAGATATAATGCAGATCTGGCGGAAACACTTGGACTGTCTCTTGAACAACCGTTCATAGATCGACTGGCCTACATTGAACGGCCTCAAGCAGTACGATGTGAGGACGAGTCTGGCGGACACACCGACACTGGATGAGACGCAGAGAGCACTTGCTCAGCTGCGAAACGGCAAGTGTGCTGGGGCCGACGGGATTCCGCCTGAAGTATTGAAACACGGCGGACCCGCGTTGTTGACTGGGCTGCACCACTTGGTGAAACGTGTAGGAACTGAGGAGGACGTGCCTCTCGAGCTGAAGGATGCCCTTGTGCTACCACTGTACAAGGGTAAAGGGAGCAAGCAATGTTGCACGAATTATCGTGGCATCAACTTGCTGAGTTGTGTGGGCAAGGTGATTGCCCGAATCCTGCTCAACCACCTCGCCAGTCAGGTTGTGGAACCTAACATGGCGGAAGAGTAGTGTGGTTTCCGTTCGCGTCGCAGCACTACAGATATTGTGTTTGCGGCTCGTCTGTTGCAAGAGAAGTGCAGAGAACGACACCAGCCGTTGTACTCGCTTTTTGTTGATTTCACCAAGGCATTTGATACGGTAAATCGCGAGGCATTGTGGCTGGTGTTGGGTAAGTTTGGTTGCCCGCGTAAGTTTGTAAGTTTAATTGAATGTTTGCAGTGGCATGTGAGCGAGGGTGCAGCTGAGTAGAGAGACCTCGGAAGACTTTGCAGTTGTCTCTGATGTGAAGCAAGGCTGTGTCTTAGCTCTTGCCCTGTTTAATATATATCTTCATGCAATGATGTCTTGTGCTTTTGATGCCGCTTGTGCTTACATTGTTCTTGTGGAGCACCGTATTGATGGTGGGTTGTTGAACATCCGTCGTTTCGGTGCGAGAATTCTAGTCTATGAGACAACTATCCGTATGTTGTTGTTCGCTGATGGCTGTGCGTTGTTTGCACACCGTGCGGATGATTTGCAGCGCATGACTAATGCTCTGGATTCGACAGCGGCCTAATTAGGGTTCACCATCAACACAAGCAAAACTGTCTGTCTCTTTCAGCCTTCACTGGAGGTGCAGTCTTCAATATTGCCGCGAATCAGCATTGGTGCTGAAGTATTGGAAACTACCCCCCGCTTCTGCTCCCTTGGGAGTGTGATGTCGACTGATCAGCAGATACACAGTGAGCTTCGTATCCGCTTGTCGAAGGCAGCGGCGGCACTCGAGAAGCTTGAGTACCGTGTGTGGAGCAACCATCAGCTTATCATTGGCACGAAGCTGATGGTGTACAAATCCATGGTGCTGTCTGTTCTTCTATACGGCAGTGAAACGTGGACGATGTACCGGCGGGATGTGCGATATCTCGAGCGGTTCCATCAGCAGTGTTTGCGACGGATTTTGCGCATCGATTGGGGCGACAGAGTTGCTGACACGGAAGTGTTGCGACAAAGTGGGATGTATGCAGTGGACTGCATACTTTTACTGAGACACCTGAAGTGGATCGGTCATGCGAGCCGTATGGATTCGACGTGGATACCGAAACAACTCTTATATGGTCAGTTGAGTATAGGGAAGCGGCACGTGGGGAAACCAAAGTTACGTTACCAGGATATGATCAAAGTGAGCCTCACACGTTCTAATCTTGATTGCAGATCATGGGAATCGAAGGCGGTTGATCGGCGTGCACGGCGCGATGTGATCACGAAGGCAGTTGCCGAGGTGCAGGAGAAAACCCTCATACATGCAGAGAAGAAGCGGCAAGCACCGGTGGGTTGTACTCCAACGACATCAAGCGCATGGTGTGTAGCACATACGTTCGCGAATGCCTGAGTCAGGCAGGCCTAGTGAGCCATGAGCGAGGCCACTCGGGACCACTACCGAAGCGACGACCGGTCCTGCAGAGAACGTAGGCAGAACCGGAGCAGCGTTTGTAGGTACGCTGAATTCGATTTACTAACCGCGTGCTTGCATGCTAAGTCTATTTATTTCAGGTGGTGGGTTTTCTATTTTGTACTAATGCTTTTCTTTTTCAAGTAAATGTCCACCTGTACGCTCTTCTATAAACCTGCACAGGTCGCTTAAGCCAATTGTAGTTAATTTCGATAAGATTTTCGTGTTTGTGGCATTTCCGTAAAATATACTTCCCGACCTCCTGAACTGATCTCGGATCCTTTGTTAACAACCTATTCCATATGCTCATTAATTTAAGATTTCTGTCACGTTTCCTTATGCATTACTCGATTTATTTTATTTGTTATCTTTCACACAAGTGATTGGCTGTTGCTTGATATCCCCGGTATGACTGCGCTTGATGTGCATGTTGACAAGGTGCCTACCTGTCTTTTACCCAATACCTCGTCCATACTGGCTCTAGGAAACAGTTGGTCGTTGCTGGAGGGGACGGGGTACACGGTGCTTGTGGTCGTGCTAGGCTCGAAGAGTGGTTCCATGCACTCAGTGTGGAGCGGACTACGGTCCAGCCACCGCCTTGTGTGCGCGTGATTCCCCAAATACAGCGTGCTTGTGTTTGCCTGTGAAGGAGTGTGGGCCGGCTCCGTTGATGAAACGTGGCTCCCATCCACATGCCTCCCGGTCTTATTCCTTCGGGTTTACACTGGATATGGGGTGTGTGGATGGAGCTGTGGGTGGTGCAGCGCAACCCATCCATGGTCCCTCTGTAGGCGCAGGCGTCCTGTGGCTGGCTACAGTGACAGGCAAATCCGAAACTGGATGCCGACAACTATATAGCGTGGCGCATGCGCTTCTTTCTTCTTGGAGCAAAAGTTCATAAACTATGAAGAAAATGTATTATGATAATGAAAAAGCGAAACCACTAAGAGAAGTCACTTGTCCCTGCGGCGATTTTGGACTGCGGGGTAAACTGCTCGCGCTCCTTTGTGCGCTGGAACTATCGGCGAATTGTGTCCACAATGATTCCGAAGTTCCTGCGAAATCTTTTCGCATTAGGGCATCTATAATGAAAGCAGGGTATTGCAATTACGCAGCGTACCGATCATTGCATGGACCAGCGGAGTGTCGCAAACGCGGAACTTCCCACTTACTCTATGCCAGTTCACTTGGCGTACCAAGGAATTTGTCATTAAAGACAGCAGCATGTTGCGCACCGTCACAGAGGAACTTGCAACCCAGGCGCTCAAAGTACGCCATCAAAGACAAGTTACTTATGAAATCGCGTAATACCATCTTTTGCATTCCATCGTAGCTTTCCAGCCGACTATTGAGGGTTATGATATCTGCAGCGGATGTCATCAGGAATGGAATAGGGCATACGGCTCCAGCCGTCACTAGCCATCTGACGAAGGATGTAATCTAGTTTAAGATCCATCCTATGCATATTTTCGCGCATGCGAACATACTCGCGCGTTAGGTGACCTAGCCGGAATGCGGCGGCATAATGGAAGTTTGTTATTAACACTTACGACACACACCTTTAATGCTGTAGTCCGTGTAGTCCTTCAGGATCACAACGCTTGAAGTTTGCAATGGAGTGATTGGACTACAATAATATGGCCATATGTACTGTTTACCTGATTGCAAGTGGCGTGTTCATATTGGGATCCATGTTTTCTGCATCACTTGTGAGTGAATTGTCCTCCAACTCCAACCTCGGTGGAGGAGGTGAGTACTCCAGGTGAACACTGTAGAATGTGGATGGACGTGACTTGTTAACCGGTCTCGCACTCCGGGAAACGCACGGGATTGCTGGAAATAAAAAAGGCATAATTGATACAAACATCTTGCGCTTTCCGCCACGCTCCATGGAGCAGATTGCATAGCTGGACGGCGCCTCGGATAATTCCATTAAAACTGTCTCCAGTCTCTGCTTTTGTATAAACATCTGAGGAGTGGTTCAAGCATGAAATTTCCGACATTTACCGATAGCCCTGTGAACTCGAACTTTGTACACCGGCGCGGACAATGGTGGCGGACTGTTGTTCAGTAACATTGCTTCCATTTGCCGTGAAGGCAATTTCGGCCACCGAACTTGGTCCGTGCCAACCATCTAACTGATATGAGCGACAGCCACCATGGTATCCATAAATTCAATGACGTGATACATTTAAAAGAACGCTCTCATTAATCATTCATTTAAGGAAAGAAAACCGAAAGGGAGACGAGGTTGATGCAACAATGTATTACATATCGAAGTCAGTTAACACCTGATATATCTTGCAGCAGTAGGAATGAAATTCAAAAATCATTAGGTTCCTTTTATTATTACACCCTCGAGCAATCATCACCCACTGCTTTCCCACGCAAGAGGGTATTATACCATGGCAGTGTGGGTTAATACTGGAACAAAACAAGATCTGGGGACCAAGTGCAAGAGCTGAAAGGGAAGTATGATGTACGGCAAGGTTTTTCATTTACCTCAAAGGCCAGGACCGTGCTTAGCGGACGGTATGTAGCGACAGAACGTTCTCAGTTGTCATTTCGATCCGTGGTACAGGTCGACCATCAATTCCGTTCGTGCTTGTGTGTGGTTGCTACCCATAAGTGGTAGGCAACACGCACTTAAAGATGCAGAGATCCGCAGAGGGGATTAATTGGAGGAAAAGCTCTTCGCGGTTCATATAGGACTGAATGCACACATCGAAGTTCAGAACGTCAAGCATGGTCGATGGCGTAACCCGTGCAACGATGGCGTGGTTGTGTTGCGTGAGCAGCATCGTAGTGACACCTGCAATGAAAGACGTTATGAATTCACCGAAGCTAACAGTTACTACAATAAGTTTCAGCAAATGCATCCTCAACGCCAAGTATGCACAATTGGGCAGAAAAAGATATCGCCATAAAGAGGAAGGTCAAGACACTTGTAGCGGACCTGGCGCTGAGGAATCCACTTCGGTTGCGCTAACGTACCCGAGCATTTGAAGATGCATACATCTGTGGAGAGAATAAATTGATCGAAAAGCGCTTTGCGGTTTACATAGGACTGGACGCACACCTCAAAATCCCGAACATCAAGCACGATGGATGGCGCATCGCGTACGATGAAGGCGTTGTTCGGCCGCAGCAGCACAAAGCCGACAGCGTTGTTCCTACCACGCCTAACCGTCACGGAACCGGTGCCATCTACATACAGCGACGCATTCGTGAGAGATGGTGAAGAACGCTCAGCAATACGACGGAAAATCTGCGACGTTGGTATACACGTGCCAAGCACCACGCGTCGCAAACGCTGCAGATGTGAATCGAACGGAAAAGCGGGAAACGTATCCAACGATCCAAACCTGCGCGCATCCGCGCATAGGTGCTGAAGGCAATGCACATTAAATTCCGACTCACCTTCCCCGTAAATTGCAGCACAGTTATCTTTCATTTTGGCATCAATTTCACTAAAGGCTTCATGCAGTAGCAGCGACACTTGTTGCTACAAAGCACGTAAGCTATGACAGACAGATTGCAAAAATTTTCGTACACGTGGTCCGTCACAATCCCGTTCAGAACAACTGGCCCGAGGTACAGTATGAACTGCCTAAACTCCGTGGCCTTCCATTTCTCTACATCTTTCAGGATGCTGCATTGGCGTGGAAATTCCGCGGTTAGGCAGCTAGCGCAATGCTTCAAGCGTTAGTTGATGCGGTCAATAGGTTTCGGGGACAAACGAATTCAACCGGCAGTCGGACCATGGTACCAGCAGTTGCATACATAGCAGTGCATGCCCCCAGACTCGTCCGTCAAGGGGTTTGAGCAGCTCATGCTGCCGCAAACAGCATTAGATTCCCTGATCAACGCAGCCGAAGATCCATTAGCGCCGGTATTCAGTGAATCCGACATGACGCTTCAAAAACAATGAGAAACAAGTATCAAGACGTAAAACTGACGAGGTGTTACCTGCCGGGCAGTCAAAAGAAACCGTTACGGATTAGAACAAGATACAAAATGGATTACAAAACACAAAAGTACCAGAAAAATAACCAGAGGCTGAGCCCAAAATAGACGGACGACGTCTAATAAGTACGCGAGAACGGGAACGAAGAAATCCGAGGAAAATGATGATACAAAATTATTTGGATCAAGCGAAAGTTGACAAAAGCCAAATTTTTTGCACGACTGTTCCAAAACCGTCCTTTAAAAGTAAAACATCGAAAAGACAACACGCTCAAAAATTAACGCAAATAAATAAGCCGAAAACGATGTGTGGTTAGGTACAGCGGATATAGTCGGAGCCACTGAGTGAAGTAAAAGAAATAACAAATTTAAATGGGACAGGAACAAAAGGAAATCCCCATGAGCGTTGCTTCTGGATTCTACTTCCGCTTCTAGATTACTGTGTTTCATTTGTGTAAATTGTGTACCAAAAAGTTTCTTTTTGGTGTAGTCTTCAAGTTGTGAAAATTTGGTGAGCATTCTCTCACTTATTTCGGAGAACTCGTTGATAAATCAAATTACCGTCTGTGTCCGCCATCTTGGATTTGCTCCAACGTGTAATGCCGTGCCAATCTACTTGTGGCTCATGTTCGAAAGTTGTCGGACAAAAGGCTCATGCACTTCGTTGTTTCGGCTATGATGTTCTGTTCCATATTTCGTGTATCGGCCTATCCGTGGAAGTTTTCCGAAAACCTGTTGACATCCGACATAGATTTTTCCAAGTTGTGTGTGATAAATGCCGCGGTTTGCTGCAACAAAATGCACGGAGACCACCACCGACTCGGGAAAAGCCATCTTCCAGACGAAACCACCTCATTCAGCTCGTGGGGTCAAACGCGCTCGTGAGAGTACCTCTGTGAACTCCCCTTCCCCTGCAACTCCACGATCTGCACCACCGCCAGCGTCTTCTACCCCTAACGATTCTCACAACCAATGTTCCCCACAGATTGACGACTCAGAGTCGGAGCCCCCTAATCTTTCAGCGCATACCTGTGAACCTCTGAACACTGAAGATAAATGGATCATTCAAAAACGCAAAAGTTCACGCAACAACTTTCAGCCTCCCCTACCGATAGACGACCGTCCAAAACGACAAGCCCCTCCACTCCTGTTGCCTCAAGTTCGTCACCGATCTCACTGAGGCGTTATAATCTCATGGTGTCCCATGCACCAGAGTCGAAAGATGAAAACCATCAGAAACGTTATGATCACGATGTTGAATTCCTTCAGGGGCTCGTTGATAAACTGTTGGATGTGGGTGAAAGCAGCGTAACGATTAAACAAGTAGTCCGACTTGGTCAGCATACTAACCAATCATGTCGACCTTTAAGAATCACCTTCGCTGACCACAACATGCCACAACTCATTCTGTCTCGTCTCTCCAGGCTTAAAGGCACCAGGGTTCACATCCGCCGAGACTTGGAACCCGAAGAGAGGAAGCGCTTGAAGACCGCGGTCCTTGAGCTTAAACGCCGTAGAGAAAAAGGCGAAACTGATCTACACATTGTAAATTTTCGATTGATCAAGACGGGAGCACGAACCCGTAACAGTCGGTCAATCAACCTCCAGACACGTCCCGCGGTGCCTCTCAGGACCTCCGTGCTGCATTCACAAACATCTGTAGCCTTATGAACAAACGGGATAAGCTGTGTCGCTTCTTTGCCTCTGAGCGACCAGACGTCGTAGGACTGGTGAAGACATGGCTAACTTCTGAGGTAATGGCAGAGGAAGTCGATCTCAGTGGCTACTCATGCTTTCGCTGCGATAGAATATCAAATCCTCGTGGTGGTGTCTTACTTTATATACGGTCTTCCCTGTGTGGGAGGCTTGTAAGCATGTACCGAAGTGGAGATGGACTGTGTGAACAGGTATGGTGCTCGATCAATCTCAGGCGCGGGCAAGCTGACAGTAGGTGCATTCTACCGTAGCCCTCTGAACCGCTCTTTAGATTGGCTACCGCATCTTCGGAACAACATGAGTCGTCCATGTTTTCTACTCATGGGTGTCTTCAATTGTCCCCACATTCAATGGCCTGAAATCCAACTCATGCCTGGGTATTCTGAAGTCGAATCAAAGTTTGTTGATTCGTTGCTTGAAACTGGGGCATCGCAACACATATGCCAACCTACGCGCATGACGTCGCGTTCGAACCCATCGTGCCTTGATTTGATGGTGACGAATAGCGAACAGCGGTTGCATGACATACGAATCCAGGAGCCCCTAACTAAAAGCGGTCATTCCGTGCTGATAGCCACTATGGAACTGAACTTGCCGAGTGTATCTCCGGTGGAACCAGCTTAAAACTACTGGAAAACTGATTTCGATGGATTAAAGCGAGTAACGAGCCAAATGGATTGGTCTCTACCGCATGTTACATCTGTGGAGGACGGTTGGACAGTAATAAAGGAATGATTGGCTTCGCTTTGTTCTCAGTTTGTGCCGTTGAAATTTCAGAAAGTCGGACCAATCAAATCACACTGGTTCGACAAGGAATATGGTAGGCTGGCTCGGTTACGGCGAAGAATGTGGGACGCATTTCGCCTCTCTGGCTCCGCCACTGATTACGAAGCATATAAAAGACAGCGAAATATTTGCAACAAAGTGAAATTGATAAAGCGCCGGAAGTTCGAAGAAAAGCTTGCAACTGACGCGAGGATGGCACCAAAGAAGATCTTTACTTACGTGAAATGCCGTTTGAAGCCAAAAGGTGACGTGTCATGTCTAGAAGACGCGGACGGACACCTGCTAACTTGCAGTTATGATCGCGCATCCGCACTGGCCGCTCACTTCGCTTCCATGTTTGCAAACGACGCGGCGTCCATACCCATCTCAGCGAGTAACATTCCTGTAGAACTCAACAGTTTGGTTTGTGATGTCGACGAGGTGCGCCTGCTACTTGCGAACCTTGACGGTACTAAGCCTACAGGGCCTGACGGGCTTCATCCGCTAATTACCAAACCACTAGCTGCTATTATCTCGCCTGCTGTTACGGATCTATTCAACAAATCATTGTCTGAGGGCTCATTGCCAAACGACTGGAAGCGCTCGGTGGTGAGGCCGATCCCGAAAGCTGGCGACCCCTGTAAGGTGGATAACTACAGGCCAATTTGTCTTACACCAGTTTTGGCCAAAGTGATCGAGAAGATAGTAAAAAAGCGTCTAATACGTCTGTTGCAATCGAAAGAACTTCTGACACCGGCACAACACGGATTCAGGATGGGATATTCTTGTGTTACCAACTTACTTGTGACGAGACAGGAATGGTTGCAAGCACTGAACCGGGGAAAGTCCGTCGACGCAATCTACATCGACTTCAGCAAAGCATTCGACAAAGTTAATCATGAAGTGCTTCTAAACAGATTAAGGTCGTGTGGTGTCGGAGGATCGTTACATCGATGAATCCATGAATTTCTCGTTGGAAGAAAGTGGAGGGTACAGGTGGAGGGCCATCTAACCGATTGGTATCCCTCGACCAGTGGTGTGCTCAAGGTACGGTACTGGGACCCACTCTGTTGCTCATCCACATCAACGAGCTGCCCCAGCTTCTACAGTCGCCGTGTGCACTGTTTGCGGATGACCTCAAAATTTGGCGAGAAATTAATACTCTCGATGATTGTGACATTCTCCAACAAGACTTCGACCGCCTCGCAGTATGATCTGCTGAAGTCCACCTACCGGTCAACCCGGCAGTCCCTATTCATGAATCTCGGGAAGGCTGTTCACGGCCGAACGTACACCCTAGACGGCCAACCACTGCATCCCACACCTTCCGTGAAAGACCTAGGTGTACTCTCACACTGCAACTTGAAGTC